TTCACTGTTTTGTGGAGCGGGGCGTATTTTGACTATGTTTATTCACAGCGACTGAGTTGAGCTCTTTTGTTGCATCGTTTCAAACTACCAGAAACCTGGAAACATCTACCCTCTTGAGATGGCTCTGAATTTGTTGTTGTGTGGTTGTCGTTTGTTTATGTTTTCCTGGACTCGTTATCATACGGATCTTGAGCAGATGTTCAACAAAAATCGCCAAAATATTCGTCAAAATGGACACTGAAAGTTGGGAACTTCCATTAAAGTAGGTCTTCAGCCTGAAGGAGCCCATAATCGTTATTCAGAAACTGTAATTAATTAAATTCGTCAATTTTTTTTGGAAAAAAACAGCAATTACAACAAAGTTTTGGCAATAGTAGTTGCAAAATTCTCCACACAATGGCTTTTTGCCTTTCAATTTCCTGAAATTTTATTGATTACTTTAAACTAATCTTGAAATCTGATTGGTTGTTTTGTTTTACTGGCCCATTCTCATTGGCTGAGAAAAAGATGCAATTTAGAGCAAAAAATAGTGCGATTCGTGAATAAATCGCACCGCCGAGAGCCAATCAGATTGCAAGAATAACCAGTGATTTCAAAATGGATTTAATAAGGAGTTATACCGCATAGGGAAAACGTGTCTTGAAAAAATGCTCCAAAATTAGATTTTGAAACCATAAAAAATTGATTTTTAAACACGTGCCGTGAATTCAAAATTAGACGAAAAATCCTGGTTTTCGGTTAAATAATTTGCCAATACCTCCCATACAAATACACAAAAAGAAGAAAAGCGAACTTGATTTTGCACTTTTCAGGAGCGAAGTTCTTTGTGTTGATACTCGGCGCACTAATGTCCACCATTTTGTAGCGGTTGGCATCATGTAGAATTTTTGCAATTTTTTTGGAAAACAAATGTAGATCTGAACAAAACAAATATACCACGTTTATTAACTCATCATGGGGTATCTCTGAGCGAGAGATGAGGGAAATCAATTTTGTGTAAAAAAAATTTCACGCGGTCTTCGGGGACATTCTCTCTTAAGTTTGTGATGTACTAGAGCTAGATCATTTCGTGAGACACAACAAGCTTAAAGTGCACCTAACCCCAAAAAATTTTTTTCGCTAAAACGAATCTCCTTGTTATTTGAAATAGTTCTGCGAAAAAATTTTTGGATTCCGTTAAATCCTCGATTTTCTGTGCCC